CAAAGGTGGGTGGAGGGGGAGTGTAGAGAGGAAGGACCAGGGCTGGTACAAGGTCGAAGGTCACAAAGCTGGTGAGTGGGGGACCTCAGCCCTGGAGGCAAAGGCCACTGGATAGAACCTGAGGCGGAGAAAAGATTCAGATTAGTCAGGGAGCGGGGATGGGGAGGGGGGTACAAAAGTCACCATGGTCCCCTCTTCCCCCCTTCAAGTCTGAAGGCCTGAAATGGCTCCACGTGTCCCCAGGGTAGGGCAGGAAAGAACTCTAGGTCCACCTGGCATATGGCAGGGGCAGGATCCACAAATTAAATGATGTTGGTTGAGTGTGAATGGGAAGCAGGCCTGGGGAAGGCAATGCAGCTGGCTGGGCAGTGGGGCTACTGGGTTCTCTAGGACGAGTAGGCGAAACGACGGGCCTCCTCTTGGCCCACGGAGAACACAGTCTTCTCAGTGGTGCAGCGGTGGGCACTGCGGGGTGTCTGCTCGTGTGCCAGGTACATCTGACATTTGTCCAGCCAGCCCTTCTCGAAGTAGTGGTAAGGCACTGAGAGGTGGCTCTTCTCCCTGCAGTCGCTGTCGCTGACCATTCCACAGACCACGATCTCCTCGCATAGCTCCAGGGCAAGGATCATAGTGAGCCAGTCCACGGTGGGCGCCTGGTTCATGCAAAGCATGCACTCAGCCCTGTTGATCTGGGTGCCCAGGTATGAGCCTAGCATCTGGCTGGAGGTGGACACCATGGCACAACCACAGTATGGCCCTCGGACCAGTGGCTTCCCATCTGGCACTCTGCTATATCCACTGAAGTGCAGCGGCCCTGGTGCCAGGGGCCTGGAGTTGGAGAGGTGGGGGCTCAGGCAGGAGGCCAGGCAGGCCCAGCAGCATAGCAGGATACAGGCAGCAGAGAAGCCCATGGAGCACAGGATGAAGAGCAGGAGCCGACCCTGAGCCTTCATGCTGTCACTGCTGTCAGCAGCAGGGGGGCTGCTATCTCCAGGGCTGGGAAGGAGGGGGAGCCAGGCACTGGGTGGGCAGGTTGGGACGTGCAGGCTGCTCTCCATCCACTGCTTGGAGCTCCATGGCCCACTGGACGGATGAACCTAGCTGGAACCCGGAGGTCCCCCCACCCCCACCCTTGGGCACAGGGGGTGCTGTTGCCGTAGCTTCTGGAGGCTGAAAGGCGAAAGTCAGGTTTTTTGTTTTTTTTTAATATATTTTATTGATTTTTTACAGAGAGGAAGGGAGAGGGATAGAGAGAGTCAGAAACATCAATGAGAGAGAAACATCAATCAGCTGCCTCCTGCACACTCCCCACTGGGGATGTGCCCGTAACCAAGGTACATGCCCTTGACTGGAATTGAACCTGGGACCCTTGAGCTCGCAGGCCGATGCTCTATCCACTGAGCCAAACCGGTTAGGGCGAAAGTCAGGTTTTTATAAACAGAGATTCATGGTCCTCAATCCCAAGAATTTTGAGTTAGTAAGTCTGAGTCCTAGGCAGAGACAGTATGTAATTTCTGAAACTCCACAGAACCACTGGTCTAAATTATAGCGGTGGTAGTGGAAAGGAAATTATTTTGGTTTGGTTTTCTTTTCCACCACAAAAGCATATAAATGCAAACAATTGCTGTGTGTTTTTTCCAGGGTTATCTGCAAAAATAGCTTTCTCTGAACATCTCCCCTACTCTCTGCGTTAGCCCCGGTGTTGAAATAATCTCTCCTTTAAGTTTCTCTTGTGAAATGAAAAGCTGTTTTTTGTGCTCTTGCTTAAAGTGAAATGAAAGCTCAGAGAATTGCTGCAGCCCTTAGAATTGCTAAAATGAGTAAACAAAAACAGGCCTTCAGGGTGGAAAAGAACTTTGTACCGAATGGCAGATGAGGGTGTGTGGTCCTAAGTACATTGGTAGGCTTTTCTCTGCTGCTTTTATTTTCCCCACTCACTATTCTTCTACCTGTCAGCAAAAAAATAAAAATAAAAATATAATAATAATAATAATAATAATAATTAATAATAATTGGCTGTGTTCTGGCTGCCGACAATGACATCACTACTGAGCATTTGAATGGCTGTACATCACTACAGAAGAGGTCCCCAGTTTCTAGGCAGAGAAACTGACACAGAGGAATAGGAAGGGATTCACTTCATGGATTAGGGGCTGGCTGAGCTGGGACCAAAACCCAGGTGGCCTGGCTCTCAGCCTGGCTGACCACACTGCTACCCACACAGCCCCGGCTGACCCCAAACAAGCAGTCCATTGAGCAATTGCACAAACAACAATGAATGATGGATGGTCAGAGTAAGAAACAGGCACAAAGCAACTGTAACCCCATCACTTCCTGGCCCCTAAATTTTCAGGCAAGTCTGTAAAGTGTGGTCACAAATGAGTTTGACCAGCAACTTGGACCAGCTTTTAAATTTGGAAACTTCTCGTGGTTACTGTCAAAAGTAAAAGTCTGCCTTGTACTGTGGGTGGAGAATGCCTTTGAACACCAGAAGACTAAAAGGACACAGATGGGCATAACCCGGTCCTGGGAGGGCCTTGGTAAAACAAGACAGCTTTAGATTTTTGAATCTTCTCATCTGTAGATCTGTCCTCCTACCTCAGACTTATCTAGCAAGGGGCGGGGGTGTGTGATCAATGGAGTTCAATTAGAATCAACTTAAATGACCAAGTCTCATCGTATTCTCCTCCTCAAATTTGCCACTGAGATGTAGCCAAAATCTGTGGTCCTCACATGCTTGAAGCTCAGGCCAAATGGCTCTACTTGCTAACCTGTATTGTTGGTCCTGGGTGCAAGGCACTCAGACCTGCTTGGCCGTGGTATGGCCCTCGGCCCAGGCCTCAATCTTCAACTGTAAACCCAGGGTATCCCCAAGAGATATAGCTAGCTAGGACGTTTCCTGTTTCAGGAGTCGATTTTCTAGTCTTGAGATGGATAATTCTAATATGTCTCTTCTCCACCTGTTTAGAAACTGAGGACTTCAGAAATTAGTGAGGAGACAGAAAAGTTGACTGTAATATCCTATATAATAAAAGCCTAATATGCTAAGTGTCCAACCGTCCAACCAGTCACTATGACATTCCAACCGGTAGGTTAGCTTGCTGCTGGGGTTCAGCTGATCCAGACTGGGTGAGATGGGACAGACATGCCCTGGAGCCCTCCCGCGGTCCCTCCCTGCCCCGGTGCATAGGTGGGGTCCCTCGGCCTGGCCTGCACCCTCTCGCAATCCGGGACCTCTCGGGGGATGTCGGAGAGCTGGTTTCGGCCCTATCTCTGCAAGCCAGGCCGAAGGATACCACCGATGCATGAATTTGTGCACTGGTCCTCTAGTTTATTTATAAATAGACCTAACAGGCACAATTTAGACAATAGATGTTTTGAATATGTAGACCAGGTGCCACAATGTTAGGAATTTGAATGGAGGATTTTCTTGGTCAGATTATAGCAGGGACTACCCCCGTTTTGTGTTTATCATAAGAGGTATTTATTAAACAGCACTTCTTTCTTGAAACAGTCCACATTCTCCTAATATTTCCTTATTCATCCAACAAATATGGAAGGTGTGCTATGTGCCAGGCAAGCTTATGTTCTCGTAGCCATATCATATTGTAACACATTGCACATGTGAGTTCTGCCTTATAGGATATAGTTTCATGTATTCTACTAAAGTGTAAGATCCTTGATGTCTTGCTCATTTTTGTGTCCCCAATGTAAATGAGCACAGTGCCTTGCACATAGTGGAGACTCAATAAATATTTGAATTACGTTGTTAAAAGGCATTACCATAAAAAAGGTTCTACATAATTTTTTTAAAAAAAATATATTCCACTGATTTTCCACAGAGAGGAAGGGAGAGAGACAGAGAGCCAGAAACATCGATCAGCTGCTTCCTGCACATCTCCCACTGGGGATGTGCCTGCAACCCAGGTACATGCCTTTGACCGGAATCGAACCCGGGACCCTTCAGTCCGCAGGCCGGCGCTCTATCCACTGAGCCAACCCGGTTTCGGCTACATAACTTTTTTTGATTGTGCTAACGGTCTAAGGCAGATGTGTCCATAACGTATCATCATTATGCAAATTAATAAGTATTGGGTGTGTATAGGGAAGGGTATGTTTACCTCAGGAGTGAAGAAAGGGGAGTGCATAACTGGACGGAGCCTGTTCTGGAAGAGGCGCTAATTTTCCTCTGGTCAGTCTATGATGGAGTCTCTTCATTCTAGACTCTCACTGGAATTTCAGACGTCTCATTCTAGGGCATTTTCATCCCCCTCACCTTTCTAGGACACCCGCTTCTTCCCGCTTCTTCCCAAAGTGCTGCAGCCACGGAGTCGACCGCCAAGTCTCAAAAGCCCCCCTGCCCGCTCCTCTCGGGCTCAGGACCCCTCCAGACCGGCGGCCGCAGGGGCCCGGCCAGGGAAACCCCGGGTCACGCGCGGGGCAGGCGCCAAACCGGCCGCGGCGAGGGGAGCGGCGCTGAAGGCGGGGCTGCTACGGGAGGGGCGGGGCGGGGCGGGGCGGGCGGGGCGGGAGGAGGCCCGGGGGCGGCTTGGGTGTTACCACCAACCCGCTCCGGCCGGAAACTGGCGCTTGTTTCCGGCCGGACGGCCGAAAACCACCGATCCTGAACCAGCCGCCGGAGTCGGAGCGGCGACCGTGTGTGGAGTAGGAAAAAGCCGCTGGAGGAGGCCGGTCCGGTCAGTCCCGTCTGGCTCCGGCTCCGGCTCCCGGGCGCAGCGACAGCCGCGGTCGCCGTCTCCGCCACCGCCTCCGCCTCCGCCTCCATCGTCGTCAGGGGAGGGGCCGGCCGGACCCCGGGGTCACAGCAGAGGAATGAGGAGAGGCGGCCGGGCCCCGCGCTCCGCCCCGGCCTAGGGCCTCGCCCCGGGAGCCGCGAGGGTAACAGAGCCCCCCGCCTTGTCACCCTCCCCCGCTCTGCCCCCGCCCCTCCCGCCCCTCCGGTTTCCCCAGCTCTGACCCTCCGATCTCCACGGTCCCCCTTCTCCTTTCTGATTACATCTCGCCCCGGGCCGGCGCCTCTGGGCACCCCTCCTCGCCCTGGCTGTCCCTGGCTTCGTCCCCTCCTCCCTGTTACTCCTCCCTTTCACCTGTGCCCGCGTCCTCTCCCCTCTCCCTCCCCCGATCCTGGTCCCCCAAGTGCGCGGGGCAGTTCGGACGGTGTCAGCGAGACTTTCGGGGAGGGATGGTGGAGTCGTAGGTGGTGAGAGTGCAGGCGACTAACCCACAGTCGGATAAAGTTCATGGTCAAGTCTCCGTATAGAAGTAAAATGGAAAGACAAGCGTGCTCTCCCCTGTCGATAGCCGAACGGAGGTGCGCCCGGTAATGGAGGAAGGGAGCGGAAAAGTGTGTGCGAGCCATTCTAGGGCCGGCGGGTGAACTTCAGAAAAAAGCAAAGTTGCCGTGAGCCGATGGAAACTTTAGACGCTGGTGATGAGTAAGCCGGGGGCTGCTGATCTCACTCCTCTGCTCGTAATTACTGGGTTAACGGTGCGCTCGGTCGGGACGGAATGGGATTTGTTTACTGGGCCGGCGTATTTTTAGCCGTCGGCGCGCAGCACCGGGCTGAGCCTCCTCCTCCCGCGCCCGCCGTCTAGGTAGCCCGTCTACCTCTGGGCACAGCGCAGATAGAAATGTTAAGTGGAAAGAAACTGACGGATGGAATTTTATGTGAGGTTCTCTGCAGACTCTTCAGAAGTTACAAAGGCAAAAGCAAGAATTAGCGGGACTTTGGCTCTTATTTTCCTTATCTTTTCATAAGGACCTATTTAAAATGCTTTTTCGAAAATCCGAAATGGGTACATTTTCAGTCTTTGTCTTCTCATGCTGTATATTTTGGAGACCTTTGAGGAGGTGGGTCCCTTTGTCTTTCAGAATCTATTTCTAAGGTGGGAAAGGACAAAGTAGAAGTGGTGGTACGGCTAGTCCAAAAGGGTAGCTAATCCTAAATCTTGTAAAAACATTTTTCTATATTCTATAACTTTAAAAATGTCCCTCAGAGTAAACGAGATTGCGTTCCTGATGGGGTGGAAAAGACTGCAGGGACTTAAGCCAGGTGGCTAGGGAGAATCAGACTTGTAATTAAACATTTGCTCTGCATAATTTACAAATGAATACATTATAGGCAAACAATTATACTCTTTGTCCTCATTGTTTTTTGAGCAGTCCTTTTAAAGTTTACTAACCATCCTGCTGTGCTAGTCTGTTGATATTTTGAAGGCTGAACAGAACTGTAAAATAAATGAAGTTGATGTGGCTCATCTGGAGTCTGAATATGGGTCTGTTATAATTTCCACTAGCTACCCTGTGTGCCTCAGAGCACCTCCCTGAATAAGTGGCCAGTTACTATGTACTTTGGGATTGCAAATGAATACAAATATTAGCTCATGCTAGGAGTAATTGAGAAGGTAAATATGCTGAAAAGATATTCCAAAACTGAAATTGGTTATTTAAAAAATTTTCCCATTTTGGATTATCAGCACCTTTCTGCCGATAATTATCCATTAACATGAATAATTTAGAATTGAACAGCTATCCACTTTGGACTTTATGCATTCCAGCAGGAAGGGAAAATGGAAGGAAGATATTTCCCAAACTATAACTAATTTTTTTGTTGTTGCCAGATTTGACTTACCCCTTTCATTTAATGCCAGAAACTTCCTTGTGAATGAAAACACCACCTAAACCTTTGCCAAAGGAAGGGCTGTCTGCTGACTTGTATTAAGGCAGGCTGACCAGTAACGAATGCTAATTGTTAGTTGGACTTGGTGGAGTTATGTCACCAGCAACTTGGAAATTTTCCTGAACCTTTACGTAATCTCTTTCTTTTGGGACACCTATTGAAAATTTAATTTGGAGGGTAAAATCTAATTTTTAAAAATCACACATCCTCTCAGAGTCTGCTGATCAATAATTCTTTCAATATGTGCGTTGGTTTGTGTCGATATTAGTGATCATATTTGGTAAATTCTATTATGTCTGTATTTAGCAACTTTCCCTAGTTGAACTACATATATAATTCTGCGGGGATAGGGGTGAGGATGGAGGGGTTAAATAAACCAAGGTTAAGTGTAGGGCAGCCTAATAACCCACCACTATTCCCAGTTTTCAGAAGGCTTTGTTTGGAATTTTGAGATTCAGTATGATTAACCAAGTGAATTATGATGGAATAACTCAGTACTAAAGATAAGTTCTCAGTTTGTTATGGGGGGCACTGAGTAACATTTGTCAAAAGCTCTAGCGGTTCTAAATGTCTCAGGCATGCTAAGGATGCTGGCAGAGGACATTGTAAGGAAGCACCCCTTCTCACTCAACATTCATCCCGTCAAGGGAAGACTCCCTAAACATCGCTTTAAATGTGACTTCAGCAGTAGGTTTCCTGTAGGAGCCGTGCAATGGCAGACTGGAATTTTCTCAACAGCCCCTGATAAATTTAGATAATTAAAATCTGTGGAACTGGAATGTAGTTGCAGGGCAGTTTTATCATGAATGCCAGAACTCAGTTGATTTTTTAATATGATAGAAAGAGGGAGTTGATTTTTTTTTTTTTAAGTAAGAAGTCCTTGCCAAATAATGATTGAATACTGAGGTGGATAAAGCAGTCTGTAGACTCCAGTGACAGGTTTTGGGAAGATGTAAAAGGTGTAGACAGGTGTTTTTGCCCTTGGGATGGGGTGGGGTTAGGGAAGGCGGTATACAGTAAATGGAAAGGCAGACTATTATAAGCTTTAACATTTAGGAAACAACATAGAAACAAAACCAAATATGATTGCCATAAATGCAGTATGTAAAGTCTAGAAAACTTGAAGTAACAAAAGAAGAATGAGATGAATTAGGGACTGTTTCTGAATCAGTAAAATTTGAAATGAACTTCGGAGGCAATGGATTAGAGTCACAAAGAGGCAGGGACTACAGAGTTAGATGAAACTTGGTTCATATCTTGGTTGAGGTTTATACTATGTGACCTTGGACAATGGACTTCATCCTTAGCTATAAAATATGTGTGAGCATTCAAGTAAATGTTAGGAGTAAAGAAAAGATCTTCCAGGCAGAAAGTATAGAATGTACAGTATGAATGACGAAGTTGTGTTTGTCGGAATAAAAGAGAGTGACTGCCGAGAATGTGGGTTGGTCAAGTCCTGGGTAGAGCAAGCAAGAGGGTGGAGGAGACTCAGTGGCCAGACTCTGTTGTGTGTTGATAGAAGGGTCAATAGAATCATTGTAGGTCCTTGAACAAAGGATGGATTTAATAAGGAGTATTGAGTCTTCTGGTTCAGGAACTCAGGGACAAGGAATCAGGCAGGCACCGGTACATTGTGACTCCTGCTTCTCTTCTGGACCATCCTGGCTTAAAAGGATCAGCCAGGAGACATAAGATTCCTTGTAGAAGTTTTTGTATTCGTGCACCTCACTCACTATGCTGAGCTCTGCTTGTGTTTGTCTCCCATTGTACCGATCTGTGGGGAAGTCTCAAGACTATGGCAGGATTCTCCTCAAGAGCTTATGGTAAGGACAGCATCATGTTTTAAGTACATTTAACTTTCTCTGCTAGTGTAGAGAGCACTAGCATTGGTAATTCAGAACTTAATACATTTCTTGGCTTGAAATACATTATTTTTTAACCAGATTTATTTTCGTGTTTTGGGATCGATCATACTACTGTTGAAATGAATCTGCAGTTCTAAGCTTGTATTACCTGATGGTGACAGAACAGTCAAGCTTAAATTAAAGCTTTTGCCTCAGAAATCCATAAAATGAATAACCCATTTGAGGACATTTAAGACTAGACTGCATATGTTAATGAAGAACAATTTCTTTTCAAAATCTGTGTGGGTCCAATATGGCCTCTCAGGCTGTCTAGACACCTTATCCTTAAGAGTGAGTGGTAGATGTTGCAGCCAGAATGAGTCTTCACTCACAGTATTGGGAGGAATCTTACTGTCATATGTTGCATTGTTAAAGATTAAGGTGGCTTTTTCAAAAGACCTGTGCTTTGTAGAGGCTCTTCCAGATGTTAGCTCCACTGAAAATCGGTCAGATCTTCCCTCCTGAAGTAAACTTGTTTGAAAATATGGCCAATTAAGAAAAAAAGAGTAAGAAGTGTCCACATTTAAAAATGAATAAAATCACACAGCTGTTCTTTCAACCTTGTTCTTTCAGTCTACTTGCTTTCCTTCATGCCTACCTGCCTCCCCACCCCCACCTTCTCATCATCATTACCAAACTATGTGCTTGTGATGTCATGAGCACAGGATTATTATTTACTCTTGAGTCAGAATATTGTAGTATCTCAGCTGGAAATCAGAGGTGGAAATTCAGGAATCTTAGTGTAGTTCAGGATTATTTTCAACTGTGATTTTTAGGATTATGTTTTATCCCTTTATTTCTTGGAATAAATAGTTTTGGATAGGAGAAATCACTAAACTATTATTTTTAGTGACCAGCTCTGAGTTTAGCTCTATGCTAGATGATGTGGAGGATTAGATAAAATGACAATTTTGTGCCCTTGAAGAGTTTACAGTCCAGTTAGGAGTAAGGAGAATGGGAAGAAATGACTACCTATTGAGCTTCTATTATGCCACACTAATAAAATTTAAAAAAATGTGAAAGTATATTTTTGATTGCATAGTACACACTTTATACCGTAGGTATTTTGAGAGAAGAGTACTCAGGTACTTATGAATGATGTCACAGAGGAATTGGAACTGATTCCAGATCTTAAAAAATAAAATGGTATTAGGTACAAGGAATGAAGACAATAACAACAAAAATTATTTCATTTTGAAGCTGAGAAGGGATCAAGTAAAAGCCTGGAATAGGGATATACTCAGGATGTTCTTGGGGCAGTGATAAGACTGAGTAGCAGTAAATAGTGAAACAAAGGTGGTTAGGATGGTTTGGAGCTATGTTGATAAGGGGTCTTAAAAGCCAGGCTTATAAGTTTAGATTTTAAATGATAGAAAATTGTGAACCACTGAGAAATTTTGATTGGGATAGTAATATGATGATCGTAGGGAACAAGGTTGGCTTGGAGGGAAGGTAAAGTTGGCACCTGTGGTGTGTGAGGTGATACACTAGAGTTGTGTGGAGAGTGGAATAAGGAGAAGAAAGAGAAAAAGAGATTGTGAAGGAAAAATTGAAATCATCTGGACTGGACAGTGAAGATGAAGGGGAGTGATCAAGTATGTCTATGACAGTTTAAGCCTGGGTTTCTAAGACATTGACTGAAATAGAGAAGATAGGAAGGTTTTGTCTTTTCTTTTTTAGGGGAATATGATGAGTTCAATTTGAGATGTGTTGGATCTAAAGTGGCAATGAAACATCCAAGCGAAAGCTGTTCCTGTTGTTAGAGATGAGCCTAAAGCTGGCCGAGAGGTGGGGGTTACTACCTTGCAAGTGTGGTTTTGCAGTTCTTTAGCATTTGTAGCTGTAGCCAAG